GTCCATATTGCTTGTGAGTGACCTACGACAAGAGTTGCCGCTTTCGGCTCTACGTACGTCGTTTGCGAAACGTGTGCTGCCAACGGTTGAGGTGCAACCTGGAGTTTCTTGCCCATCATTTGAGGCGGAGGAGGAGCATCGCACGAGAAGTCTTTCGTTTCTTTAGGTGGTGCTGAAAACACTGGTGTCACCTCCTGTTTCAACGTGATTTGTGGTGGCTCAGTCCAGAGTGCTTGCGACACTCCCACGACTAGTGGAGTTGGTTTAGGCTCAACGTAAGTCGTTTGTGATACATTTGTTGCCATTGTTTTTGGTGATACCTGCAATTTCTTCCCCACAGACTCACCATATTTACACTGCGCAACACTGCTCGCATAAACAGGCACGCTTGGCTCGGTGTAGACAACTTGACTCCTTGACACCGCCAAATGCGAGGGCTCGTAGGGCCCTTGAACTATTGCGATGGCCAGAGGTTCTGGACCCACCTGCAACTTTTTGCCCATTTTCTCGAGTTCACGTGACTGAGCAGCGTACAATTCATACAATGGCAGTTTCGGGTCCAAATAAATCGCCTGTGCCGCCGCGACTGCCAGCGGTTCTGGACCCACCTGCAGCTTCTTACCGATCTTCTCCAATTCTCTTGCTTGAGCATTTACGTATTCGTACAGAGTCACCGGCGGTTCAGCATAGACGGATTGCGTCACGGATGAGGCTAGTGGTTCAGGGGACACCTGAAGTTTCTTGCCCTGAGTACCAACAGGAAGTGGATTGCAACCAAACTCATGTGTCGCAGGAGGTGGTGCCGACATTACTACGGGTTCGGGTGTTGGTGCTTTGACAATTAACAGTTCTGTTTCCGCCCACATAGACTGCGACTTACCAATTGCAAGAGAGGCTGGTTTCGGTTCAACGTAGGCTGTTTGTGAAACGTGTGCTGACAACGGTTGAGGTGCAACCTGGAGTTTCTTGCCCATCATTTGAGGCGGAGGAGGAGCATCGCACGAGAAGTCTTTCGTTTCTTTAGGTGGTGCTGAAAACACTGGTGTCACCTCCTGTTTCAACGTGATTTGTGGTGGCTCAGTCCAGAGTGCTTGCG